AAGGCTAGCGCTCTACCACTTGAGCCACAGTGCCACTTCCGGCTTTTTTTCTTTTTGCTTATGTGGTGCTGAGGAATTGAACCCAGGGTCTCATGCATGCAAGGCAAGTGCTCTACCACTGAGCCACCTTCCCAGCCCCCGCATGAGACTCTTACCTCCAATTAATCACCCAAAATCTGAAAGCAGAGCTGTGGCTCAAGTGGTAGTACACTAGCCTTGAGCACAAAAGCTCAGGGACAGCGCTAAGGCTCTGAGTTCAAACCCAAGGACTCTCACCAAAAAAAAAAGTGAAATAAATCTACCCAATCATATTTATGATTATTACTAGTACAATATAATCTAAACAAACTGACTATGGAATAGAAAGAATAACAATATGAAATAATGCCACAGGACATTAATGGCATTCACCCTCAAATATCAAGATTTCTTGAATCCATATGATCTAGTCAACATGAAACAAGATCTCCTAAATGGATGGTCACAATCACATTGACTGAGCTCCACAGGGGAGCGCTATATATCAGTGTAATAACCAGAGTGACGGTGCAAAGTGATAGATACCATAAGAGTCATAAACAAAAACACCCTAGAACCCCTGCTCCTACAGATATGGTGCAAGGTTTAGAAGCATCAGCAACTGGTAGCTTGTTAAAATGCAGACTCTTGACACTGTACAAAAAGAAATGGAGTCTTTACAGGATCATCCTTATAATAATTTAAAAAATTAATGCAGAAGAGGTGAATGTGAATGTTCACAAAAGCTCCAATGATTTGTGCACATGTGAGAAATGCTGAGGTGACTCTTGCTCCATCTTCTAAGCTACTCAGTGCTGTCTGCTGTTCTCAGAGCACTGCATCAAGTACGTATACTGCTACAGTTTTGCTTTTTTTTTTTGGTCTGTTGTGGGGCTTGAACTCTGGGCCTGGGCACTGTCCTTCAGCTCTTCAGCTCAATGCTAGTACTCTACCACTGGAGCCACAGTACCACTTCTGGCCTTTTCTGCTTTATGTGGTGCTGAGGAATGGAACCCAGGGCCTCATGCATGCAAGGCAAGCACTCTACCACTGAGCCACCTTCCCAGCCCAGTTGTGCTTTTTTGTACCTCTCCTGGGGCTTGAACTCAGGACCTAGGTGCTGTCCCTGAGTGATTTTTGCCCAAGACTAGTGGTTCACCATTTGAACCATAGCTCTACTTCCAGCTTTTTTGGTGGTTAATTGGTGAGTAGAGTCTCACTTTCATGCTCAGGCTGGCTTTGAACTGTGATCCTCAGGGCTCAGCCTCCTGAGTGACTAGGATTACAAGACATGAGCCACCAGCATTACAGTTTTACTTTTTAAAATTTTCTTTCTCGTCCTCCTTTCCTTCCTTTCCTTTCCTTCCCTTCCCCCTCCTTCTTGTTTTCCCCACCGCTTCTTGCATGATTCTCATGCAAATAGCACCAACAGGAACTGGCCTATGGCCATAGCCCATGGACACATTCCTTCCCTGAAGCTAACACACACAGTTACTGCCATCATTGCAGTAACTTGTGGCCCAAATAGTGGAAGGTGCCAGACTGCTAAGACCCAGCTAAACAGGGCAAATGGGGACCACTTTCTTAACTGATGGGAAGTAACTCTCATTTGTTGAGTAATAACTCATTTCTTTGAGCTAGTAATGGTTTATAATATGAATGGCTTATAATATGAAAAAATAATAGTTTATAATATAAAACAACTGCTCTAAGAGATGAAAATGCATAAAAATTATAATTCTAATAATTAATTAGAACCACTTACTGTAAAAGTTTCCACAACTTTTCCTTCAAAGGGTTCTGTGACTTTTCCATGCTTTCTTTATTTTGGATTATTCAGACAAGGTCTCACAACATAACCCAAGCTGGCCTCAAACTCTCACCCAGTTTAACTTTTCACATTCTTCAATTTAAATAGGATGGCATGCCTTCCACATTGAGATTACTTTTATAGTTTCACAGATAATTAATGCTAACTGAAAAAAACACAGGCCAGAAAAAAATGATGAGGTAAATTCTTTGGAAGAGAAAAAAAATAACCTGACAAATAGTAGATGCTCAATAACTATATCATTGCCAGGCACTGGCATCTCACATCTCAGGAGGCTGAGATCTAAGGATAGCAGTTTGAAACCAGCCCAGGCAGAAAAATCCATGAGATTCTTATCTCCAATAAACTATTCATTAAAAAAAATTGTGGACTGGAAATGTGGCTTAGTGGTAGAATGCTTGTCTAGCATATATGAAGCCCTGGGTTCAATTCCTCAGTACCATATAACCAGAAAAAGCTGGAAGTGACACTGTGGCTCAAATAGTAGAGTGCTAACCTTGAGCAAAAGAAGCTCATGGACAGTGCCCTGAGTTCAAGCCCCAGGACTGGAAAAAATAAATAAAACCCACGAGTGGCACAGTAGCTCAAGCAGTAGAGGGCTAGCCTTGAGCAAAAGAACTCAGGGACAGTGTCCAGGCCGAGTTCAAGCCCCCAAGACCAGTATATATATGTATATATGATATATAAACATAAACGTATGTTTATATATATATCACATATATATGTTATGTGTGTTGATACAAAGTATTGTCTTATTAGATCATTCCATATAGCTCACAAATTCAATCAAAATGGCTAATCTTTATCTCTCCAATTCCTGTAAGAAAATGGTAAATACAGCCCAGTATCAGTGGCTTACATCTATAATCATAGTTACTTGGGAGACAGACCTGGAGTATAATGGTTGAGGCCAGCTCAGGTAGAAAATTCCAATAGGCTCCATCTCAAAACTAGAAAAAAGTAGGGATGGAGGTATGGCTCAAGTGAGAGTGCCAACCATAAGCAAAAACGCTGAGCAAGAGCACAGATTGTCAAGCTCAAGCCCCTGTAACACACACCAAAAGTTAGTTTATAAAGTTAAATAAGACACTCCAAATGACTGGCATCTAGGGCACCACACTGAAATCAAGATGCTTATTTTGAAAGAACTCTGAAATCTTTAGAAAATCTATGCCAGAGTTGGGCACAGGCTCACGCCTGTCATCCTAACTACTTAGAAGGCTGAGATATGAGGATCACGGTTTGAAGCTAGCCTGGGCAGGAAGTCAATGAGACTCACATCAGTCCATGAGACTCACATCTCCAACTAAACACCCCAAAAAAGCCAAACATGGAATCATGGCTCAAGTGGTAAAATGATAGACTCAAGCCTTGAGCAAAAAAGATTAGGGAGAAGACAGGAGCCGGTGGCTCATGCCTGTAACCTTAGCTACTCAGGAGGCTGAGATCTGAGGACAGCGGTTCAAAGCCAGTCCGGGCAGGAAAGTCTGTGAGAGTCTTATCTCCAATCAACCACCAGAAAACTGGAAGTGGTGCTGTGACTCAAGTGGTAGAGAGCTAGCCTTGAGCTGAAGAGCTGAGGAACAGCGCCCAGGCCCAGAGTTCAAGCCCTCAGATTGGCATATGTGCACTTATGCATGTGCACACACATGCACATATGAATACACACATACACACACAAATATTTGCCAGTCACATCAGTATGGTGACACAAGCCTGGGGATCCAGCTACTCAGGAGGCAAAGGCAGGAGGATCATTTGAGCCCAAGAGTTGGAGACCAGTAGAGCAACAAAGTGAGACCACATCCTCAAGGGAAAAAGCAAATCAACATGTTAGCACTATTATGTTGTCTATATATTACCATATTAAACCTAATCATGTAACCAATAAAAAGGCCCAAGGAATCAGATTCTCCCCTTCGGTTTTGGAATAAAATATTAATTTTACATTTTAAGCTATATCAAAATTATATATGCAAAAGCTTATCAAGCATACACACATTCTTCCATATTTAATGTGGCCTTCACACCCTTGATTTAATACTCACAAGATCAGCATATTTCTTACAGAGAGCTGCCAGCTTCTCCTCTGGGGTTGAAAGGGTGTTTAGGGCTTGCATCAGTAATAAAACTTCTTTTCCTGATGATTAACAAGATAAGAAATAAGTCCCTGAAGAAGAATGAAATCAAATCGAACCTGTTAACTCTACCAATACTTCTCCCGTTCCAGAGTAAATAGTTTATACCTATACCTAGAAGCACACTATTTATCAGCTCAATTCCCCAAGTGGGGCTGGAGGAATGGCTCATCATTACAGCATTACCAAGCATAAGACCTTGAGTTTAAGCCCCAGTATGATCAAAAAAGAAAAAGAAAAGAAAGCTATTTGGGGGACCGATGGTACAGCTCAATGGTAGAGCACTTGACTGCATGCCCAGGGATTTAATCCCCACCCCAAAAAAAGAAGAAAAATAAGGGAGGAGGTAGAAAAAAGAACGCTATTTTTAAATTCTGGTCATAGGTACCCCACTCTGCTCCCCATCCCAACCTCAAATGTCTTAACTCCTTCACTAACACCAACATTTCTTTGTTGGGTTTTTTTTTTTTTTTGGTTGGTTGCAGGGCTTGAACTCTGGGCTTGGGCACTGTCCCTGAGCTCTTCAGCTCAAGGCAAGCACTCTACCACTTGAGACACAGTGCCACTTCCAGTTTTCTGGTGGTTAATTGGAGATAAGAGTCTCGCAAACTTTTGTGCCGGGCGCTGGTGGCTCACGCCTATAATCCTAGCTACTCAGGAGGCTGAGATCTGAGGATTGCGGTTCAAAGCCAGCCCGGGCAGGAGAGACCGTGAGACTCCTATCTCCAATAAACCACCAGAAAACTGGAAGTGGCGCTGTAGCTCAAGTGGTAGAGCGCTAGCCTTGAGCTGAAGAGCTGAGGGACAGCGCCCAGGCCCAGAGTTCAAACCCCACGACCGACAAAAAAAAGAAAAAAGAAAGCTGGGAACCAGTGGCTCATGCTTGTTATCCTAGCAGGAAGCTGAGATCTGAGAATTGTGGTTCAAAACCAGTCTGGGCAGGAAAGTCCATGAGACTCTTTTTTTTGGGGGGGGGTCGGTTGTGGGGCCTGAACTCTGGGCCTGGGCGCTGTCCCTCAGCTCTTCAGCTCAAGGCTAGCGCTCTACCACTTGAGCCACAGCACCACTCCGGCTTTTTTCATTTTGCTTATGTGGTGCTGAGGAATCGAACCCAGGGCCTCAAGCATGCAAGGTAAGCGCTCTACCACTGAGCCACCTTCCCAGCCCCATGAGACTCTTATCTCCAATTAACCACCAGAAACCTGGGAGTGGTACAGTGACTTAAAGTGGTGGATCACTAGCCTGGAGCAAAAAAGCTCAGGGAGATCCCCAAAGCGCTGAGATCAAGCCATCATGGTCATGACTTGGCCATGACTGACCAAAAAAAATCTTCAGAGATAAGACCTTACTTTGTTGTCAAGTGAGCCTTGAACTCCTGGGTCCAATGACCTTGCCGCCTCAGCCTCCTATGTAGGTGGGACTAAAGGCTCTCATAGTACACCTAGTTAAAACTTAATCTGTGTGTGTTTCTGAGTGAGAGTCGTGGGGCTTGTACTTAGTCCCCTAGTTTTTTTCACTCAAGTCTAGAGGTCTATCAACTGAGTGGCAGGTCCACTTCCAGCATTTTGGTGGTTAACTGGAGCTAAGTCTCATGGATTTTCCTTCCTCAGCAGGCTTCAAACCATGATTTTCAGATGTCAGCCTCCCTAGTAGGTAGGATTGTAGGTATAAGCCACCAATGCCCAGCTACTTTTTATTTTTTTAATTTAAAGTATACAACTTATCGCCAGCATTGTTAAGAAATAGTATACAATTTAGTATATTCCCAAAGTCATACAACCATCACCACGTTCTAATTCCAGAATATTTTCACCACCCCCAAAAGAATCCCTTGCCCGTTAGCATTCCTCGGTCCTCCATCATTCCTCTGTCCTCTCGGCTCTGGCCACTACAAATCTACTTTGTGTCTCCACAAATTGGTCAAATCTAAACATTACATATATAATGATATCATACAATGTGTGGCCTTTTGTGTCTGGCTTCTTTCATTTTACAGATTGTTTTATAGTATTCATTCATACAGGATGGATCAATGCTTCATTCCATTTTGTGGCTAATATGTCACCATGTGGATACATACATTAATTATCCATTCATTATCCAATGCATATCTATGTTGCTTCCATTTTTGAGTAATTTTTTGTGGATAAAACTGCCATGAACATTCCTGTACAAGCTTCTAAGCACACAAAAATTTAATCCTCCTGGGTATAGATATCTACAGGTTGAATTGCTTATTCATATGTAACATTGTATTTTTTTTTTATTTTGTTGTACCAGTACTGGGGCTTAAACTCAGCCTAGTGCTCTTGCTTGGCTTGCTTGCTTAGCTGATGAGCTACCACTTGAACCATGCTTCCAGCCCAGCTTTTTGCTGAATTATTGGAAACAGTCTTGTAGACATTTTTGCCTAGGGTGGCTTGCTGGGTTCAAATCACACTCACTTCCTGAGCTGCTAGGATTATCGATATAAGTCACCAAGCCTGCCTTATGTGTTACTTTTTAAGACTACATTGGTTTTTATATACATAATCAGGGATCCTGATTTAAGAAGTATGCCCTATGCATAAGAAATTAAAATTACTTTTTATATTTCTGCAACTTTTTTCATTTTCTCGGATAGCCTAAAATTAGTTTAATAAGGATAATTCCAACTTACAGTCATTAAATAAAACTATGCATATCATATACTATAAATATTACATATTTAATAAGCATAAAAACCTGAGTAGCCCTGAGTAGCAGGAGTAAGACTAAAATGCAAGAGGGTATCAAGTCACAAATTACATCATGGGAGAGATAAAAATATCCCTAGAAAGCCAGCCAACTCCCTTTCTGACTACAGATACCTATTTTACCATTAAAGTTTTGTGCCTAGTCTTTAAAGAAATTGATCAAATAAAGTTTTCACATAATTTTTATCAGAATACAATAAAGATACAAACAAGGCAAGTCAAAGAACACTTCTGTCTGTTGTACCCAAATTTTGTGAAGAAAGCTAATTCTTGGTTATTTAGAGAATGAACTGAGCTTCATAACTCTGCTGTTTTTACCTCTTACCCATATCCAAAACAGACATAGAGATTGTCCTCACCAAAGACAGTAAGGGCATTAGCTAAGCATCTCCAAACTAATCATGTTCATGGTCATCTGTGCTATAGACCATGAGTAAAATGAGCAATATGTGAAAATGTCCAACCAGTATGCAGAGATTATTACCTAAGGTTTTCTCCTTGTTTCTGCTGCACTCTGAATCCTGTTGACCATCAGGAGGACCAGTTCGAGCTTCCTGCCCAGGAATTTCTTCTCTTGACTCCTGTGCGCAGTATGCTGGGCTTACCAAATTCCTGTTCTTTGTTATAAAGTCACTGCCTCCATCCCCTTCCAGTGAATGCTTGTTAGTCGTGCCACCACAACTGGAGTCTTGATGTTGAAGAATATCATTTGACTGAGAGTTACACAACCTATCTGCTTTCACCCCTAGCCCACAAACTCCAGCTTCTTCCATTGTGCCAACTTCAAACTAGAAGGGGAAGAAGAGAAAAGATGGAAGAGGGGGTTGAATCATATGTAGTCCATATTTTAAACCAATGGCCCATCACAGCTTGCCAGCTTAATATAAAGGTAATAAAAATTAAAACAAGGCTGGGAATATGTGCGTATATGTGGAGATAAGATACACACACATGGGGGGAAGGTGGCTCAGTGGTAGAGCACTTGCCTTACATGCCTGAGGCCCTGGGTTCGATTCCTCAGCACCACATAAGCAAAAAGAAAAAAGCCAGAAGTGGTGCTGTGGCTCAAGTGGTAGAGCACTAGCCTTGA